TTCGTAGACTTCCGGTTGCCTAGCCCTAGAATTCTGAGGCTCCCTCCGGATGAGAATTGAGCTGTCCGTACAGCCAGGACACTCGGGGTTACAGCACCGAGGGGGTCCATAGCTCGAGGTGAGTTCCTGTCTACGGGTGCTCAGCGGGATTCGGGGGGGGTCCCTCGCTGCAGCGGCCCCTTCCACGTCCCGGGAACTTGGCTACCTGGTGTCACGCCCTTCCCACGACCCTCTCACCGCTCATTGGTTAGAGCTGGCTTCGGGGTTTCATGGCCCCGCCCACCCCTTTACCCTCCCCAAACCACCCCCCCTACCCTCGCCCTTACCCTCACCCCCGACCGCGGCCTGGTCAGTAGTTAGGGGCGAGGGTGCCTGCGTATCTGGCTTCGGTAGTGGCCCTGGCAACTTTCTGAGACTGTTAGGACTCGGGCAGCGAGACGCGCTCCTCCCTTTAAAAAAAAAAACAAAAACTTAGGCGCGGGGGGAAAAGGATTCCGCTCAGGAAACTCAAGGTTCATTCTGCGTTCTTAGAACATTCATTAAAATCTCGAGTCAGAAAATTCTCATAAGGGTGTTTCTGGGACTGAAATCTCATCTACGAAAATAATTTGACAAATCACTTATTGTGACATCACTCTCGTAGTTGTCCACCCGTAGGTCTATTAGTCCCAGACTTTGCTGGTTCCATTTCATCTTCCAGACCTCCAAACTCAATGAGGCCTCCTCCCAAATTCACTCACTCCCTGACTGAGTAAACAAACGTGCCTTTAAATAAATGTCGATTACTCCCCAAATTATATCTTCAGCCGGATCTCATAATTGTACATCTAACTGCCTGCTGGACATCTGTGCTTAATAGGTGTCCTGATAGGTACTTCATTACCTAGAATGTCTAAAACCAAACTTCAGATTTCCATCATCTTCCCCATCTAAGTAAATGGCAGATCCATTCTTCCAGTTTCTTAAAGCCTTGGAGTTATTCTTACATATCACATATAATTCATCAATAATCCTATTGATTCTATACGAAATCTATGTCCAGAACATGAACAGTTGCTTACCACCTCCATCGCCATACCTTAATCCAAGCCACCATCACCTCTCCTCCTGTCATTGTGGTGCCTACCTGGTCACCCTGCTTCCATCCTTGTTTCCCTACCCTCTTCCCAGCAGTGAGTGCGGGCCTCTTCATAAGTAAGTCAAACCCCTCCAGTGGCCTTCCATATCAGGATAAAATCCCAAATCCTAGCCATCCCTATGAGTTCCAACATGAACTGCCCCATATTTCCTTTCTAACCTTGTGTCCTTATAAAACCCTGCCCCTGGCTCATTCGGCCCCAGCCGCCTAGTGTAGCACCATCCTGCTTCATGGACTTTGGACATGCTGTTCCTTTTGCCTGGAAAACCTTTTGCCCAGTTAAACACATGGCTTTCTTCTTCAGTGCCTTCAGGTCTCTTCCCTGCAGTCACCTTAGCAGAGAGGTTGTCCCTAACCACCCCGTGTAAAATTCAACCACCCACCCTGCAACTTGAGCCTTATCTTCTTTATCTTCTTCATAACCGTTATTCACTGGACATACATATATGTGTGGGTTTTGTTGTCATGGTCTTCTCCCACTAGATTAAATCTCTTGAGAGTGGAGTTTTTTTGTTACGTTTGTCCATTGTTATAGTCTTAGTGCTTGACACACAATAGGTGCTCAAGAAACATTTGTTGGGGCTTCCCTGGTGGCACAGTGGTTGAGAATCTGCCTGCTAATGCAGGGGACACGGGTTCGAGCCCTGGTCTGGGAGGATCCCACATGCCGCGGAGCAACTGGGCCCGTGAGCCATGGCCGCTGAGTCTGTGCGTCTGGAGCCTGTGCTCCGCAACGGGAGAGGCCACAACAGTGAGAGGCCCGTGTACCACACACACACACACACACACACACACAAATATATATATACACAAAGTCTCTAGAGAGTGAAGCAAACATTATATTTAAAGGAGGGAGGCATGTGCAGTTCTAACTGTGTAGAGAAAAGCAAATATCATTAGGTCTGGAAAAAATGTTTGGGGGTCAGATAGGTTTGGGATACTATGCATACTAAACCCTCTTGTTAGAAATTCATGGTGCTTATTGGCATCTAACAATAAAGATTCTGAGAAATCACACACAAAAAGTGTGCCGTATAATTTATTGTCCTAGACTTCTCTGGTGATCCAGTGGTTAAGACTCCATGCTTCCAATGCAGGGGGCACGGGTTCAGTCCCTGGTTGGGGAAGTTCCACATGCAGTGAGGTATGGCCAAAAAAAAAAAAAGGTTATTGTACAAATGGGGTCACTTTTGTCTAGGATAAACACTAAACCAGTCAGGACAAGAAGATGACCCATGGTCACCCTAAAGAAACCTATTGAGCTTTGTGTCATTCAGCATTTCAAAAACTTATTTAAGCACACAAAGCTTTATGTATTTTTTTTTCCCAGCATGGCATTGACACCCTGGTAAGGTGTTTTAAGGACATGAGTTGAAAACCACTGGGATTGGGAATGATTAGGTGGTGTTGGCATTGGTTTATACTCTGATCTGTGGAGACTGCCTATAGTATACAAGACGTTATTTTCATATTTTCCTGATTCGTGTCCAGTTAATCCTAATGAAGTCAACACCCCACCACATTAATCATTCCCATAATCTTTGGTGTGTTTTTGACAGGACCCATTGCAGCTACTGACCTGACACCTCTGAGTAGTTTGCATTTCTTTTTAAGTGGAAGAACTTTTTTTGCTCTTTAAAAGTACCATAAAAAAAAAAAAAGTACCATAGAGTGAACTAGCTAAATTGTTGGCCAAATACCATTTTCTGATGTTAAAGAAATGACCCAACTATATTGGATGAAATAAAGAAGACTTGAATAAATAGAGAGACATGTTCTTAGAGGGCTTATAATGGATCATGCAATGCACCCTTTGGGAAGTGGATCCACTGTCAATATGCTGGCATTTTGTGATACTGTGTCTTTGAAACTAACAGCCAGATGGTGAACTGGGATAAATTCACTCTGTTACTGACCAGGGTTCTTGGCCTCCTTAATCAATAGAAATTGATAAGAGGCCAGACAAGAAATTCAGGCAGGGCTTTATTGGGACCCCTGCTGCAGCAGGAGGGAGTGAAAACAAGTAACAAGTTCCCTTGCTCATTCCGGGGGCAGGGGGAGCTGTTTCCTTATATGGGGTGAGGATAGAGGTGGGTCCAGGGTCAGGGTGGTCTGCCCACCCCCTTGGTGGTGCTGTGTGCCTTTTTGGTCTTTTCCTATGTTGTTCATAATTTGCCCCAGTTGCACCTGCATGTAGTCATTTTTAGTCCCTTATAGTTTCTTTGTATTTTTTTGCTCAAGGAGACATTTGTCCACGTGCAGGCACTGCAGCAAAAGGTCCCAGGTGCCAGCCTGTCTCAACTCTATTGGGTAGCTGTCAGGGTCGTTAGCCAGTATGCCTTCCCCCCCCCGCCCCCCCCGGAACCTAACACACCTCCACCCCATTCTCCCAGACCACAACACTGTTGCCCAATCACCGATTATGTGAACTTTCCCCTAATAGATAGTTGGCGCCCTCTTGCTTGTTTCAGTATACTTCTATCAGACACTGCATACAATCAGTAAAATGACAATGTGGAGTGTGAATTGATGGTTGATGGAGAGATTAGAGGCGGAGGCCAGGTAAGAGGAGTCATGGTTCTGGAAGGAAATAGATACACACTCAACTTTGAAACTTTGAATAGGCTGTTTCATAAAGGGGCTATTTACAGAGGTGTGGCCACATTTAAAGGAACCATGACTATCCCTTGGCTGAAAGTTCTGCTGGAGCTAAAGAAGAAGGCCTGCCTGCAGAAGCTTGGTCATAGAGGGTCACAGCCATTGTCAGAATACCACCAAAGCAGGGAAGGAGTAGTGAGGAAATACCCTAGCCTCTTTCTCCTCCCATCCTCCCACTTCCTGCCGGAGCATTGGCTGAACCCAACCACAAGGAAGGCAGAAGACTTGGGTGATATAGGCTATAGAGGTCAGCTGTCCAGAGTCCAGGGCAGGGAGAAGAAGGGCCAAGAATGGATTTAGAGGATAATCAGAAAGTAACCAGCACAAGAAGAAATATTCCAAATGATGAGTCCCTGAAGGTCCCTGAATTAGACCTTGGTAGTTGGGCTTGTGAAGAAGGGACAGGTTCAGGCCTATGCTGTTTTTCTTGTGCTTTCCTGCCTTGCACAACTGTTCTCTCTCCCCACTATGCCTCCTCCTCCCTTGTCTAAGTCTTACCCTTCCTTCAAGCCTCAACTCATATCTTGCTGCCTTCCTCAAATCTTTCCTGATGACCTGTTTCATTGATTATGTGCTCTTATCTTAATCCTCGTGATAATACCTATACTGGTCATTAAACACTTGGCCTTTTTACCTTCATTGTTCTATATTTTATTAGATATAAGTCCTGATCTTCGAACTAAATAGAAAGTTCCAAGGAGTGAAGGATGAAGCTCTACATATAGTAGCTGCTCGATAAACCTTTACCAAAGATTAAAAGGAATTCCATGAAGACACCAGTAGCTGAAATAATGGTGTTTGATTTCACGGAGTAATTCTCATTGAGAAGGTAAGCCATGTTTGCCTGTGCAACGGTGGGATTGAGCTCTTCTTTTCCATTTGGAAGAGTAACCCTTATTTTTTTTCTGGTGAATTTAGAAGTACTACATGCTAATCATAAAACGTCAAACAATATAGAAGCACACAAATTGAAAAGTGAAAATCCTTCTCTTCTTCCCTCTACCCACATTTAGCCAACTGTTAATAGTTTGGTGAATTCTCTTTGTGATTTTTTTTCAAGTATGTGTGATGGTATAAGAATGAATAGTAATATCATTATTTATTGATTAAGATTATTTATATTGCTCTACAGTCTACTATTTTAGGTAACCATATAAAATGAACATCAATGTTAATATCCATTTTTAAAATTATCTCACAGTATTCTACTGTTTGAGTATACAGGCATACCTCATTTTATTGCACTTTGCAGATACTGTGATTTTTACAAATTGAAGGTTTGTGGCAACCGTTGAGCACATCTATTGGTGCCATTTTTCCAACAGCATTTGCTCACTTTGTGTCTCTCTGTCATCTTTGGATTGGTATCCAGAAATCCAAGGGTACCAACCGGAAAAAAAAAAAAGAAAAATTTAAGCCCTAACAAAACCTGCTCTATCCAATAAGGTATCAAGAAAAGTACAGTCTAGCAAGACAGAAAACATTTAAATAATAAATACTGTATATCAGGTAAATCCCACAAAAACACTGTGGCCTCTCCTCTACTAACACCAGCAGAGGGAGCCTAGATTCCATCTTCACTGAGCTGTAATAAGCACCTAATGCCCACCCCTTGTCAGAAAGGTGCCAAAAATGTCTGAGTTGGGACCCAGGACTTTCCTCCCTGCTAGGCAGTAACAACGACTGCACTACAGTGTCAGTGTCAGCCCCATGTCAGGTCCATGTCAGACCACATGAAGAGTTTGTATGTCTGCATGATGCAGCAATAACAAGGGACCCTCTTTTATCCCCTTCTGGGGTGTTGTCAGAGAAGTCTAGTGGAAAGTCAGAGCTCTCAACACCACCTACCATTAACAAAGCCACCCCTAACCCTGGTGTTAGTGGAGGCCACCTGGGGAGCAATAATGAGGCACTCCTATCACTCCCAACCAGGGAGCTATCCTTAGAGGCCTACAGTGGCACTAGAACTCCCATCCTCACCCAGCAGTAATGAAGAACTCTCTCCACTCCCCTACTTACCTTAGATGTCAATAAAAGCTGAGTAGGGAACCTGGATTTCTATCACACTTGGTAGTAATGAAGCAGCACCCACCTCTTCCCCTCCTGAAGCATTATCAGATAAAGCATGCTAAAATGGAAGATTTAAATAATATCCAGAGTCTCTTAATACCCCAAATGTCCAAGTTGCAATCAAAATCGCTCATCATACCAAGGACAATGACAATCTCAAACTAAATGAAAAAAGAAAATCAATAGATGCCAATACTAGAATGACAGAGATGGGAGAATTATCTGACAAAGATTTTAAAACCCCTATCATAAAAATTTTCAACAGGCAATTACAAACACACTTGAAGCAAATGAAAAAAATAGAGTCTCAGTAAAGAAACAGAAGATAGAAAGAAGAACTAAAAAGAAATGTTAGAAATGAAAAATATAACAACCAAAATTAAAAACACAGTAGATAGAATCAACACCAGAAGGAAAGGAGCAAAGGAAAGAATCAGCAAACTGGAAGTTACAACAAAAATTACCCAATCTGAATAACAGAGAGAAAATAGACCAAAAATAAATAGAGTTTTAGGGACATGTGAGACTATAACAAAAGATCTGACATTCATGTCATCCCAGAAGGAGAGGAGAAAGAGGACAGAACTGAAAATGTACTTGAAGAAATAATGGCTGAAAATTCCCCAAATTTGTCAAAAGGTATAAACAGATTCAAGAGACCAGATTAATGTCAAGCAAGATGAACCCAAAGAAATCCACATCAAGACACATCATAGTCAAACTTCCGAAAACTAAAAAAGAAAAATGTCTTGAAAGCAGCAAGAGCAAAATGAACCTTAGCTATAAGGGTAAACAATTCAAATAACAGAGCATTTTTCATCAGAAACTATGGAGACCAGAAGGAAGAGGCATAATACTGTTCAAATGCTGAAAGTAAAGAACTATCATCCCAGAATACTTATATCCAGTGAAAATATGCTTCAGGAATGAAGGAGAAATCAAGACATTCTATGATAAAGGAAAACTAAGAGAATTTGTAAGACTTACCCTAAAAGAATGGCTAAAGTAAGTTTTCTAAACAGAAAAGAAACAATAAAGGAATTATGGAGGAAATATCATGACTGAGCGAAAATATGAATGAATAAAATGGATTTTCCTTGAGTTTTCTACATCATATTTGATGGCTGAATCAAAAATTATTACACTGTTGTTCTAAATATATGTAGAAGAAAAATTTAAGATCACTATATTATTAACGGAGGAAGGTAAAAGTAAAAGTGACATAGGTTTCTGTATTTTACTGACACTGGTAAAATATGATACCAGTAGAATGTTATAATTTGTATATACATATATGTGTAATTATATATATATAATGTTATATATATATAATTTAGAGTAACCACTAAAAAAGCTATAAAAAGAAATACATGCAAAAACATTATAGATTAACCAAAATGGAATTGCAAAATATTTTCAAAAAGGCAGGAAAAAACCCCAAAGAAATAGAAAACAAAATGGTTGACTTAAGACATAACATATTAATATTGCATTAAATGTAAATGTCTAAATACTATAATTAGGGCTTCCCTGGTGGCGCAGTGGTTGAGAGTCCGCCTGCCGATGCAGGGGACACGGGTTCATGCCCCAGTCCAGGAAGATCCCACATGCCACGGAGCGGCTGGGCCCATGAGCCATGGCCACAGAGCTTGCGCGTCCGGAGCCTGTGCTCCACAACGAGAGAGGCCACAACAGTGAGAGGCCCGCGTACCGAAAAAAAAAAAAAAAAAAAAAAAAAAAATACTATAATTAAAAGAGATTGCCCCCCCCCAACACACACACACAGAGTTATCTCATCCAAAATGTCAATAGTGCCAATATTAAGAGGTGCTGAACTAGAGTCTAATTAAAGTCTAGACCCTAGACTTTCAACAAATTCATGTTTTCTACTGCATACACACTGCTGCTTTCCAAGGTAGCTGGTGTGAACACCTTTCTGAACACCTTTCTGAGCCTTTCTGAAGTTCTGCAGCTCCCTTCCCCACCTGACCAAGAAGTTAACAGAGGGAAGAAAGCTGAAATCTGTCAGTTAAAATTCATTCATCCCTTTCCATCTTCCAGAATTTTGTTGACAGCTTTTATCTATTATTTCCTCTCCCTTTGTATTTAAGAATCTGTTCCTTTACTCTAGTTTAAATGGGGGAAAAAGAGAGAAAGAGAAATACATGTGCTCAGCCTTTGTGTTTTATTAGAAAGCCCCACACTTTTTCTTGCAAATGAAATTAAAATCAATTTATCAAATTCTAAAAAAATTTTTTAAATCATATTTTGATTAGCAGATTGGTAACCTTTATAACCTTGGAGTGGGGAAGACTTTTCTAACAAAGATTCAAAGTCCAGAATCTGTAAAAGAAAAGGCTGGTGAGTTTGCCTCCTTAAAAATAAAAACTCATGAATAGCACACACAGACACAAAACAACATAAAAAGACTATGTATTAAGAAATTTTTTTAAAGGAGGGGATTGTGTAAAAATTTTAAACTTCCATGTAGCAACTTTCTGGAAGGCAACTTGGCAATATCAACCAAAATTTTTAAATGCTGTACCAACCAGCCACCTCTACAAACTGATTCTTGAATATATAGTATTCACAGTTCAACATGCACATATATATATATATATACTACCATTATAGAAGTGTTCATAATAGAAAAAATCTGGAAGCAACCCAAGTGCCCATCAGTAGATAACAAACGCAATAAATTATGACATATCTACATGATTCAGTATGACAGTCAACCACTAGAAAGAATGAGATAAAAAAATATGTGCTGACAGTGAATAGATCTCCAAAGTATATTTGGGGGGAAGAGGGTTAGGAAGTAAGGAAAAAAGATGTGTATATATGATCCCCGTAGATACATTTTAATTATATATTTCTCTACATTTATTTACACATTATACCAACATGTGTTTTCCATATATGTATAATGCCTAAAATGTTTTCTGTTTCTGAAACACCTAAAACTCTGCCTTGGATCGGGGACTTGGACAGATAGGGGAAGCAGTCACCAGCAGCAAACTGTATCTTCATTTTATAACCTTTCTTTGCCATTTGAATTTTATAATCTTGTACTTTTTTTTTAAATGTTAACATGGGTTACTTGAGCTGTGGGATAATTAGCCTTTATTTTCCCTTTTTCACATTCTTCTACTTTTTAAAAGAACTAACGAATATTAAGTTAAGAAGGAAAAATTAACTGTCCACATAACTAACTCTCTCACTTATTCTTTTCATTCTAATTTTCCAAGGTAACCAGTCAGAGCCTCTGTCCTTATTATATCATTGGTATGGCGTTTGACTACATAATTAGTTTACTTCAATGTAATTGCTCATTGTGGCAGCTCAAGATGCCACATCAACTATCTAGAAACAGAAGAATTTGGTGCCTGCTTATTAGAGTTTTATGGCTTTCATTGGATTGTCCTGTTCTTTGGGTCCTTAGCATATTACATCTGAAAGTAGAATAGCCAGAAGGTATTCTGATTAAATTTCATATTTTATGAAGAAATCAAATTTTCAATAAGTATCCATATTCAGTAAGTACCCATATTGAGTTCTCCCAAGATTGTATAATACTTGTAAATGTCTCTATTATCCTATCTTCCTAGAACCCTACAGATATCCAAAAATGATTGAGATTGAACAGGCAGAGGCCCAGCTCTCTGAGTTAGACCTGCTAGCCAGTATGTTCCCTGGTGTGAATGAGCTCATAGTGAATGACCAACTGGCTTTAGCAGAACTAAAAGATTGTATTGAAAAGAGGACAGTGGAAGGACGATCTTCAAAAGTTTACTTTACTATCACTATGAACCTGGACATATCTGAGGAAGCAGTGGTAATTCAGTTTTACTTTTGGAAGCATGTTTCATATTTACTTTTGAAACGTATCTCAACTTAAAACAGCACTTACGGCATTTTTTTTCTCTCTCTCTTTTTTTTAATCAGGTGATGTTTTCTCTGGCCTGTGTTCTTCCCTTTAAATACCCTGCAGTTCTGCCTGAAATTACTGTCAGGTATGTTACAGAAACTGGCCAATTCTAGAGGTCAAAACTAATCTGAGAATAAAAGCAATTCTCAAGTTTGTTTTCTGTTCCAAGAAAATTGATTTAATTTTTTAATCCCGTATCTTTTCCATCAGATCAGTATTATTAAGAAGATCCCAGCAGGCTCAGCTGAATACAGATCTGACCACATACCTACAAAAGAATTGTCTTGGAGATGTCTGTATATTGAATGCCACAGAGTGGGTTAGAGAACATGCTTCTGACTATGTCAGCAAAGACAACACACCTTCCCCTGTTCCAGGAAGTACAATCCAGCCAGTTGACCTCATTCTCACAAGACTCTGGATCTACAGCCATCACATCTACAACAAATGCAAAAGAAAGAACATTCTAGAGTGGGCAAAGGAGCTTTCCCTATCTGGGTTTAGCATGGCTGGGAAACCTGGTGTTGTTTGTGTGGAAGGCCCACAAAGTGCCTGTGAAGAATTCTGGTCAAGGTTGGCTTTCACAACTTTTGTATGCCTTGTCAATAATTTTAGTACTAAACATAACACTAGAGATGTGGAAATCAGTATGTATGGGGACTCAGTCTAAAACAGCACTCACATATGATCAGCATCACTCCCTTCACCTGATACAAGGCGCAAAGAAGATGTTCTGTAGATGTTAAATCGAGCCCCTGCCCAAGATGGTGTCTACTGTCCCCTCCATGTCTATGGATCTGATTCTTCCCTCATCTTAGTGATGCTGTAAATTGTGTGAACCCTGTGAAACAAGGGGGTTTCTAATCTTCTCATTTCTGAGAAGTCCCTTTGGGAGGTTGAGATTCAGCAATTTCCACATTTCTAAAATGCTAATACAAGGCAGTGATAATGGCAATAAGTGAGTTTGGGGGTGGGATTATAACCAGAATCATATTTGATTAAAATAAAATCCATGTGAGATAAAAGTAGATTACTTCTAGGAAAAGGCACTGACAAATCTGTTTCATAACTTCTATTTTCAGTGCCTTAGAATACACAACACATTTTCAAAATTTCTACTCTGAAAATTTCTTTCAGACTCAGAAAATTAAACTGGAAGAGAATTTTAATTCGCCATCGAGAAGACATTGCTTTTGATGGTACAAATGAGGAAATGGAAAGACAAAGAAAATTTTCAGTTTTTGAAGAAAAAGTATTCAGTGTTAATGGAGCCAGAGGAAACCACATGGACTTTGGTCAACTGTATCAGTTTTTAAATGCCAAAGGATGTGGGGATGTTTTCCAGATGCTCTTTGGTGTGGAAGGACAAGGAGCAGAAGAGTAGTTGAAAGTGTTTTGCTACTGTTGGTTTTTTGACTTTCTCCCTGACTCTTTCTTGAAAGATTAAGTAATTTCCCTTTAGTCCCATTCTAAAATGTTAAGGGGGAAAAAAAGAGGAAAAGTAGTATAGCTGAAATGCATCTGTTAAAAATATTCATGATTGAATGCAGAACTGAGTTTGGTTTTTTTCGTTTGTTTGTTTGTTTGCGGGCTTCTCACTGTTGTGGCCTCTCCTGTTGCGGAGCACAGGCTCCGTACGCGCAGGCTCAGCAGCCATGGCTCATGGGCCCAGCCGCTCCACGACATGTGGGATCTTCCCGGACCGGGGCACGAACCCGTGTCCCCTGCATCGGCAGGCGGACTCTCAACCACTGCACCACCAGGGAAGCCCAGAACTGAGTTTTAAATTATAATCTTAAAATTGTTGATAGACATGTCTTGACATATAAACTACCTATTTTGAAAGAGAAGTTAATTATATTTGAGGACAATAGAGTTGGTGTTAACTTGCCACTTATTCCCAATCCCCTTCCCCTTTATCTGCCTCCACTAAGAACCTGGGAAAGCTTAATGCTCACTCTCTCCAGGCTCTCTTGCAGCTGGTGGGGGGGGCCAGGGAACCTTTGGGAAAACTTTTGCTTCCCTGATTAAAATGATAGATGCAGCTAGGGCACCTCTTCCCTCTCTTTCTGTCCGAAATACCAAAGTGATGGCTGGAGCTGCAGTAGTCCTTTCAACCAAGAGGGTAGGAAGGGCCAAAAGAGCCACAGAGATGCCAGTCCTCAAGCTGTTAAACTACTGATCGGACACTAGCCGCTGCCTATCTCTAGACAGCTTATTATGAAATAAAACCAGTTTTATTTATATTTCTGTGTCTGTTACTAGCAGTTAAAAGCGAGTTGGCCAAATAGATTTTTTTCAGAGCATTAGTTTTGCATCTGCCCCAGGCACTTGATACAAAGATTAGTGAAATTTTTCTTAAACGCAGTTTTCAGTTCATCTCTGTTTTTGTATACTCATGCTCTGCCTCTGCTCCTTGGCTCACCTCACAGAAGGCTTCGAAGCACGAGCAGAGCTCAGACTTTTTAATAGGCCTCAACTATTCATCAAACTGGTAATTTAGAGCATTCGTTTTTGGAAAATTGGATTTTGACAAATTTTTCTCTCTGGAAGTGGCTTTCTGTAAATTTATTTTCAGCAAATTGACTTAGAGTCAAATAAACACACTATCTGGATTTTGAGGCCCTCCATAAATCAGTTTCCAAAATGTTTATTAAATATTTACTAATTGCTAGCACTCAGCTTGGTACTGTGTGTTGGGTATTCCTTGAAAAGTCAGACTTGGATAGAGGAGTGGGTGTGGGGGACATAATGCATTGTTTATCTTAGTAAAAAGTTGGAGGCAATGTACCATGCCCATCACTAAGTGAATTAGTAAATACATTATGCTACATACTATCCAAGTAAAAATCAAAAGTAATAAAGTGGAACTAACAAGGCAATGTGGATAGATCTTAAATATAAACACAAGTAAGAATCCGAGTGGTATTCATAGCACAGTGCCTATATTGGCTGCACATCTCACGGTGCCTCCTCAGATTCCCTCCATGCTGCCCACCTCCCCAGTGCCCTGTCAGTTGCCCTGGAAATATTAGTCCTTCCTCTGCTGCCACCACACAGCCAGCTGGACCAGCTGGACGTTTAGTTTCTAACTCCCTCCAGCCACTGCCAGATTTGGGTGAAATACCCCACAGAGCATGAGACTGACATCCCTACAGGCCACCAAAGGGGCCAAATGATGCACATGTCACATTCAGTAGGACTAAATTGCTATAATTTTTTTAGTCTTTATACATTATTTTAATTAAAAACACATTGTTATGTGTAAATATATAGATCTCAAGTATAATATAAAAACATAGACTACAATAATGTAGCATTATAAGTTTTCTTCCCAGACAGACCTGTCAAATTTAGACATTGGACTATTAACACAGTGACCAAGAGAAGTACAGATTTTCCAACCTCATGATTAATAAATTTTTTTGGAGAGTGGATGGAAGTATTAGAAAACAGCAAATTAGATGGTCCTGCCTACATTATATAATGTAAGAGACACAATAAAAGCTGGAAGAAACTATAGTTAAATGTTAGAGGCAACATAGCTTTCTTAGACTTTTACCAATGATTATGTACTTCATATATAGACATCCTTTGTTGTTCAGTATGTATGTAAAATTGTTCAGTATGTAAAATTGTTCAGTATGTATCTTTATTCCACAGTGACAGTTTGTCATGTATTAATCTGAAAAATATCTTGAACTGGAATCATCTATAAAGAAATAATGACAAACCTTTAAAAGAAACTTAGTCCCAAATCAAATCATGTTTAAAAATTAAAAGATCTATAGAAAGCAAGAGTGGAGGCAGGAAACATTGGCTACATGTCCATTTTTATTTGTAAAAGTAAGTACTGTACAAACAATAGTATTATTGAGTCGAGTAAAACAAAGCAAAATTTAAACATTCTAAAATTAATCCCACAAGCCCGTGTTCAGTTTGGAGTAACAAAGTCAAAGCCAGTCCAACCATCTGCACATTAATTTGATAAACTGCATTAAAACAAACAACAAAAATACCGCATCTGCTGCGGTGCGCAAAGGATGATTACTTTCGGTACTTGTATAAAAATAATTGTGACACCGTTTTGTTTTTGGTTTTGGTTTTAGCTGTGTATTAGGGAAACCCAACATAACGTATCATTCGTGAAATTCCATTAAAGCTACAAGGCAGCCAAGAGTTAAAGGCATATAAGGGCAGGTGCACATACATAACTTGCCAGTCCGCTGCCCCCCAAAACAATTATTACAACTACATAGTACAAACTGGGCCCACAAAAATTCTGCAAAAGGGGGTACAAAGAGGATGTGCTTCCACTTAAGCACAATCTGGCAATCTGATCCCACCGCGTCGAGGAAGGAAGGAGGCCTTAATGACCTTTGCGGACCACTTCGAGGAACAGGGCCTGGCGAGGAAGGATTCCGGCTCATAATGAAAGGCAGGTGCCTGGCTACCTACGGAAACCGGGGTCCCGAGCGGCTCCCAGGAGCGCTGGGCCTTAACGGACACCACGGCCTCCTCCTACAACCCCGCACCTCCCCCGTGCAGGACCGCCGCACGTGCAGCTACAGAACGCAGCTGGGAGGGGCCCTAGTACACTTCACGCATGCGCCCTGCCTTCGTCGGCGCGCCCCAGAAGCACTAGCCCGTGAGGGTCGGAGACGTGGTGAGCGCAGGTAGCGTAACCGCAGCTGGAACAGCTGGATTCGGGTCTGGTGAAAGGATTCTGACCCTGGCTTGAATCCTGCGCTTGTCTTTCGGACGGGGTTCCTGCAACCGTGCCAGTTGCAGCTCTGGCGCTGAGATACGGTTTTTGTTGAGTTGTTTTTTGGGGTTTTTTTCGGTACGCGGGCCTCTCACTGTTGTGGCCTCTCCCGTTGCGGAGAACAGGCTCCGGACGCGCAGGCTCAGCGGCCATAGCTCACGGGCCTTGCCGCTCCGCGACATGTGGGATCTTCCCGGACCGGGGCACGAACCCGTGTCCCCTGCATTGGCAGGCGGACTCTCAACCTCTGCGCCACCAGGGAAGCCTCTGTTGTTGTTTTGTAATACTTATCTTTTACTCTCTTAGGATTTCCCGGATGTTGCTAACAGCTGGGATGATTGGAGGAATGATGCTCTCTGGGACCTGAGTGGCAGCTTCGAGGTTCAGGGTGTCCCCCGATTTTAACCAGGGAATTACTGAAATGGAGGATTAATTTTTTTAATATTAAAAAAAATTATTTGGTTTTAAACCGATACATTTTTTGAAAGAAATTTAAGTAGTTTCAGAGAAGTTTAAATGACGTGTGTTCTCAACACTATTGTCTTCCTGAGATAGTTTGAGGTTCTAATTTATGATTCTTTAAATAACACTGTTTAACCCAAAATGCAAATGATAGGAAAAAGTGATTTTTTTCATAAAGAAAATTCTTAAGTTCATTGGCCTAAAGTTCTTATTTTACCTGAGTTCTTTTTTAAAAATTTATTTTTTGAAGTATAGTTGATTTACAATGTTGTGTTAACTTCTGCTTTACAGCAAAGTGATTCAGTTATACATATACATACATTCTTGGAAAAAGTAATTTTTGATACACCATCACTTTTGTTCTTAAAATATTTTCAAATTATCTATTTTCAAATAGTTCCTAAATAATAATTTGCTTTGGATGATTGAATATAGGCATTTTGCTCATACAGTATGGAGGCTTAATTCCCCCCCCCACCAGGGTGTTTGGCATTTTGGATTTTGTAAACTTGTTCTCTTGCTTTTCCCCACCCCCAAAATATATGTAAATAAGTGTACGCAATATATTTTTACTAGAAAAGATGACCATTGTAGAAAATGTACAAATAACTGGATGTAAAACTCACCCATAATCTCCTGCCTAAGAAGACAAATTTTCGTTTTGTTTTATTTTTTAGTATATTACTTTTGCATATATGTATATGTCGTCTTCCTTTTTTAAACAAGTCATACTGTACATGCTGCTTTGTATCTTCCTTTAATTAAACAATAGGTTGTAAACATTTCCATTATATTAAATATTTTCAAGACTGTCTTGTATTCGGTTGTCTGAGTGTACCGTAATTGATTTCAGCAGTTCACTGTTTTGGTCGTGAGATCGTAACATTTTTGGTTTGGTTTGGTTTGGTTTACTTTAGTTTCAAAAACAAAGCTCCTCTGAGCGTCCATTATTATCCCTTCAAGTTAGATTTCTAGAAGTGGAAATTCACTCTTAAACTCTGGATTTGTCTTGCGGATTGCACTTGTGAAAGGTTGAGAAACGAACATTGCAAGACCTTTAAAATTTCCTTTGCCCTAGATTTTTACCAACACTGATTATTATTTTGCCAGTTTAATAGATGGAAAAAATCTACACTGGTTTATGTTATTTTCAGTTGACTTTTAGTATGGGCTAATACTTTTTACACGTGTACTGGTCAATTATATTTCCGCCGCGGTGAATTGCCTGTTTATGCCTTATTTATACCTAAATGAGAAGCCTTAAAATATTTATTTGTAAGAACTTTTTTTTAACAGTAAGCATATTAACACCTAGTTAATGTTGCAGATGTTT